ACTTACAAGGCACACGCCGAGCCGCATTAGATTGCACATTTCTCGAAGTTTTCAAGGCGTCAAGTTGAACAAAATGCGAACGGTAACAACTTTCATTGGTTGGAGGCAACGTTTTGGATGGTCTCTTGTTGTTTTTGCTTTTTATTGGAGCTCTACTCTAAACGCTTTGGCGCGCACCACGTTCACGACTCGTTGGACTTTCTTTCGGCAACTGAGCGCGCTCCAAGAAAGTGGTCTGGTTTTGTTGCCGGAGACAGCAGAGACGAGTCGTCGTCGTCGTCGCCAGCTGCTGGAACCAGTCGAATGACAAAGCGTTTGCCCATTAAAGCGCCCAACCGAGTGCAGCACGGAGTGCAGCGCATCGCCCTGGAACAATCGGCTGGCCCTCGGTGGAGCAAGCATTATGTAAAGAATGCCCAAATGCGGATGTCTCCAGCCAAAAATTCAATATCACAAAAGCAAAAACTAGACATTCGTAGATCGTCCGATTCGTGTAAAACTCGTTTCGATTGCCAAAGGCCAAACTGCATTCGAGCTGCACGAACGTGCGTCGCTTCCTCGAGCCGCGGCAGCATCTGCATCCACATTGAACTTGAACCTGACCGGACGTGACGTGCACCGTCTCCTAATCCCGCTCTTCGACTCTGACTTGGAATTGCACTGAATTGAATCGAGCCAAGGCGAGTGTATGAAAGCGAAAACAAGTCTGGTGCAGATGAGTGTTAAGTAAATTAGATACCCACTGAAATCAAGGCTACAAAGATATTCCATTTTGGATAAGTAAAGAAAGGTTTGAGATTAGGGAAATCTTTCATAAAAGAACACGAAATTTGCTGGATTTAGGTCAAATATGCTTTAAAAGTCAGAGCTGAAAATCAGTTGGAAAAGTCAGGGGAAATCGAGTGGAGCTTTTTATAAATCGATAGACATTGATAGGCTCTCAGATCGATATATTTGGACTCTGATATCGATATGTTTACGCAAACTCTTGACCAGAAAAAGGTGAAGCTTCTTCTTTTATCATGCCCTTTTTAGAATTCTCTGAGATTTGTTAAAAAACCAGACCTGAAAACCAGTTTTTATGCATGAGGGGAATCGGTTGGAGCTTTCAAATATCGATAAATACTGATTGGCTCTGAGATCGATATGTTTATGCAAACTCTTGGCCAGACTAAGGTGAAGCTTCTTCCTTCAGTGTGCCCCTTTTGCAGGGATCTAAAGGTATGTATATATAGAAAGAAGGTCCATTTACCAGGCTCACAAATATGTTTCTTCCATATAGAGAGACTAACGCCTAATTCTGTCTTTGAGCTAACTTTCAATATACCCGCTTTGCCATTACACACAGTATTACCGGTCTGCGTTTAAGCCGCATTTAAAAACCGTCTCCGACTGACATCTGTCACATTTTGTGTTATTTACAGGTGAAGCCGCTTTACGATCGCTACCAGCGCGAGATCGAGCTGAATCTGTGGGAGCCGATCAATCGCTTCTGGGCCGAGTGCTACGAGGCATGCAAGGCGGCGTCCAAGCAGCGTGCCAGCTTCCAGGCGGCGAATCGTCGCGTCTTCCAGCAAAAGATCTATATGCCGTGGAAGGTGCGCCAGGTGGAGGAGATGCAGCGCCTACAAAATGCCGCGCTGCAGCACAAAACCAACGACAGTCACATACGGAAGAAATGGAAGACTGCCAAGCGTTTCCTCTACGGCCCTAGGGGACCCTGGTTTACGGGGTAAGTCATAGCCAAAATCGACAAGACCCAGCTCCATAATTAGAAATTATTAATTATGAAATCACGAACGAAAATTCAGCTATTTAATTAAGGCGACAATTGCAAATGGGACGTAAATGATTACATACATGAGAGCACATATATATGTTACATATATGCAATATATATGTAACAGGCTGTCAGATATGCTTACATATAAGAGCTATGAGCTATGAGCTTATGTAGCATATGCCACGCTTTTGTCTTCATTTCACAAATGCACTCATTAATTTCTTGTGCCTGTGTGTGTGCGTGTGTGTGCGTGTGTGTGTGTGTGGCAGTCACAATGGGGAGAAATTGCTAAAACAATATACAAAAATTTAAGTCGTTTGTTTTTTGGTTTCACTTTCTAGCTTCAAGCTCAGCTTGATTCATTAGTGTTTCCTATTTTATAGGCTCGAGTCGTATTGCATATATTTTTTTAAAGGTCATCAAACCTGAAAAGCTGTAAAGTGATCAACATGATTGATGGAACTAGGCTATTTTTGGGTTGTGCAGTTTTGTGTGTAATATTCGAGCTAAAGTCAGATACAGTTATGCGTGTTTGTCGATGCGTCCCGCTTGGCAAATCAAGTTTATCGATAAGTTGTTACGTTTGCCCAAAGATCGATAAATATTGATTTTCAGCTTCGTTTCTTGTACATGTCTGAAAGACTAGAGACAGAGATTTAAATTACTTAATACAAGTTCTATTAGGCTCCACACGCAGCACAATATAATTATTAGTTTTTCAAGTTCGACGATGTTTGCCCAAAGATCGATAAATATCGATATACAACCATGGTTATTGACGCTGTAATGACTATTAATTCATTTTTTGCATACATTTAAGCAGCAACAAATTAGAAATACAAATCGGCAGAGACTTAGACTAAGTCTTGAACCTCAACTTATCAATTTTTCGTAAAAATAACTCGATTATTTATTTCGAATTATACCTTGAATTAAATCGAACGACTTTCTTATCTAGTATCATGGAGTGATAGCTCGATAAGATTGGGTTCAGCTTATTATCAAACAATCTCTGCCCTTTATTTTCTCACAATTTTATCCAGTTTTCAATTGTTTCTGGCCCATTGTACCAGCTCTGTATGTCTGTCAATTGTTGAAAGCTTTCGCTACGTTCGGGCGCCTCATCAGTTGGAGCGCGATTAAAATTACGATTTAATTTTATTAAATCATCAAAAAGGCATTTATGCAATAGCTAAATGTGTAATACGTACGAGACGTGCCAGCAGCGTGTGCAGCCAATGCATAACTGACCCAACCAACTGGCACCAACAAATCAAATGAAAAATGAACAAATAAGAGGTTCTAGTCGGGAGCTCCCGACTAGGGGATACCCTGAACCCTCTTCTTCCAACATCAAATGCATATATATATTCTATTCTAGAAGCTAGAAGTCAAGTTTGGTGACTCTAGCTCTTATTATTTACCAAAATTGCCCAAAAAACAGGATATCGATTTTTATCGATTGCAAGTTATCGATTATCGGAAACATACTCGATCTGCGCAGGCACTAGGATGACCTACATCTAGCTCCATCATCTACATATCTAGCTCTTATAGGTTCTGATATCCTTCCGTTCATACATCAGACAGACGGACTTGGCTAGATCGACTCGGCTATTGATGCTGTTCAAGAATATATATACTTTATGCGGTCGGAGATGCTTCCTTCTGCCTGTTACATACATTTACATTTTGCACAAACACAATATACCCTTTTACCCATTTTCAATGGGTTCAGCGTATAAAAAGGCTCAGCTCACAATTAGCATTAATTTGATTACAAGTAAATACTTAGGCAACTTGGCCAATTGTCAACCTTGTGGCGGTCAACTAAGCTGAATGCTGCGTTTTGTGGTGGCAATATTCTAAGGTCGCACCACTCACACGATTGGAAAACTAGATCTGGCTCTAGACTGGAAATACGCACTCTAGTTCGCATTGACAGTGACTTAAATTTGTGTTTTAGCCGTGTTTCGACTCAAGGTTTGAACCAGCCTGAAGGCTCAAATCTTTACAAAATATCAATTTAAATTAATTCCAAAATATTTGTTGATTAAGAGATGGAATATTTCTCAACTACTTATGCTATCTCTAAAGTCAGACAAAATTGTTGTTATATCTAGCTTCTTTTTCAAATATATATTTACTATATATCTGGCTCTAGACTAGAAATGCGCACTAGTTCGCATTGACAGTGTGTTGAATTTGGGGCTTAGCCAGGGCAAATCCAGTGAAAAGTTCGACTCTAGGTTTGAACCAGCCTAAAGGTTCAAATCTTAAGCCCAGCTTGCAATTAAATAAACATGATTTTAGTTGAATACAAAAATATTTGTTGATTAAGAGTTGGAATTGCTTTCACTAAGTTTTCTAGCTTTTGCTATTTCTTGGACCTGACAAAGTTAATGTTATATTTATCTTCCTTGCAAATATAAATTTCAATCTGGTTCTAGACTCGAAATGCGCACTAGTTCGCATTGACTGTGACTTCAATTGAACTTAAGGTTTGAACCAGCCGAAAGGTTCGATTCATAAATGGAGCTTGCTTGAACTCTAAAATATTGATATAGAGTTGGAATATCCAATTTTCTATCTTATACTATTTGTAAGATCAGAAAAAGTTAATGTTATATTTATCTACTTTTTTCATATATATATTTTTAAGTATTATCTGACCTGAAAGACAGCTTTGTTGGGCTGCTTCTGGCTTTTTCCTTTGATCAATCGCTTCGGTTCCAGTTTCGCTTCACAGTTATAAGAAATTTGTATTCTGTCTTCGAAGTTTTTCCTTTTAGAGCCTGGTCTGAGTCTTGTAAACCACAAACTTATATCAATTGCTTCTCATTTTTATTGCATTTCGTCTCGGCATGTTTGAACTCGAGTTAAATAAGGCATAAAAGCTGGTTAGAGTTATAGAACTGTGTGTTTTGTTTTTTTCTGTTTTTATCGCGGTCGAAACAGCCTTAAGATTAGGTAGACAAGAAAAACATACATGAAAGGCAACGAATGTGAGTGTAGATGAGAGCGGGCGGCATTTGGAAGCCGCCCGAGTGAATTCGTATGTACACGATATGTAGAAGCGATATATATCGCTTGCATTTCAACTAATACTACAACTATCGACTACGACGCTAGATCAGACGGCAGCCCGCCGCCGGACCACGTGGAGGAGAAATCAAGAGGTCGTCAACATTGTGGGCTTCAGTTTTCTAATCGTGACTTAGTGATAGGCCAGAGGCGAGTAGGCGGGTCCCAAAGCCGGACCATGGTAAGCCGGAGCCAAAGCTGGGCCATAGGCTGGTGCGTGATAGGCGGGTGCCAGAGCTGGGCCATAGGCTGGCAGCTTGGCCACAACCGGAGCATGCAGCAGCGGAGCCGGTGCCAGTACCTTGGCAACCGGAGCGACAGCCTTGACAGCGACGCCCTCGCGATGAACGACGGCATTGAAACCGTGCACAGGATCCGCGGTATACTCCACAATGCGACGGGTGCCGTCGGCCTCGATCAGCGAGTAGGAGCCCTGGACAACATCGCCGCTGCGCGACTCCTGCTGGTTCTTAACGTCGCCCGTGGAGCTATCCTGCAGAAACAACAGACAAGAGTTAGCAAAGGATACGAATTGGTCAGACATTCTGCTGGTGGACACTCACATGCACATCGTAGCTGAAGCTGTACTGTGGATTCGGATCGTATGGCTCGGGTGCGGCCACCTTGGCAACGGCCACCTTGGCCAGGCCGGGATAAACGGGCGCCGCCAGCTTCGGATAGACGGGCGCTCCGAGCGAAGGATATGCGGGCAAAGCGGGCAATGCCAGGCCAGGACCGGGCACCAGCACAGCGCTGGACACGGCCAACAGAGCGCTTAAAACGAGCAACAATTTTTGTGCCATTTTGTGTGTAGATTTAAAGGCGATTTGCTGGCGATTTGGAGGAGATTTTCTGGAGCTGGAGCTGGAGCTGCTGCTGCTGCTGCTTGGCTGACAAATGAACTCACTCTGTGGTTCTGATGCTGAGCGACAATTGCTTTTTATAGCCAACACCAATCGCGAGCTGCATGCCCAAGCCCCCAAATCCGCAACCAAATCTGCTGCAAAAATATTTATGCAAAAGCAACAACAACAACAACAAAAACAACTAAAAAGTGCGCATGCGTGTGGAGTATATTGAAAATGCTTGCTAAGATCACAAAATGCAGCAGCAGCAGCAGCAACAAGAAGAAACAAGCAGAGCGCTCTACTCGAGTGTGAACGACTAGAAGATGCCCTGTAAAGCTATATACATATATGCGTGCATATACCTTCTTTGGTCTCACAACTAGCTAAATGCATTCTTAAATAGCTTCTGTGATTCTTATTAATTCTCTTAAAGCTGACACTCAAGTGTAACTAGAAGATACCCTGTAAAGGTATATATATATGCCTGCATATTACTTTCTTTGGTCTCGCAATAGTCAAAATACATTCTTAAATAACTTCTGTGATTCTTAAACAATTTTCACAGCTTAAAGCGGGCATTCAAGTGTGACTAGAAGCTACCCTGTGTATTTATATATGTGCCTGCGTATTCCTTCTTTGGTCTTACAATAGAGGAAATGCTTAAATAACTCCTCATAAAATTTAGCATACAAGTACCCCCACGTACCAAATACCAAGTCTTGAGCTCTTATAACCTTTGTAATATGCTTAAAAATGATAGCTATCAATCGATATTTATCGATAAACTTATAAACTGCAGTTCGATGTTATATCTGGCATATGTATACCTAATAAGTAAATATGTCTTCATTCGACTGTTCCTTAAAGATATGCTTAAAACTGGTAGCTATAAATCGACATTTATCGATAGATTTGAATCGATAGTTATCGATTTTATGCATAGACCTAATAAACTGCATCGATATACGAACAGTTCGATTGTTATAATCTCTGGCATATGTATACCTCATATGTAAATAGATGTTACATACTTGGGTCACAATGCCAATACACCCCGCTTATATATAAACAATTGACTACAGGGTATAAAAATGAAAATAATTCATTTTTCGTTGCGTCGCAATTGCCCCTGGCAATTGGCAGTCAGGGCATATCGAAGGAGCCGGGGGGAACGGAGGGTGGGCGTTAGCTGACTGTCTGTCTGACGGGCGGGGTGCTCGGTCGGGCAGGCCAGACAAAACAGCTTAGGCCTACGAGAATGGCACGCATGTTGTCTGGCTGGGTCGGCCGGCTTGGCTCGGCTCCTAGGCGAGTGGTGGACAGGCCAAAATGAATGGATACATGAGCTGCTCGGAGCAACAGTTGCAGCAGCGGGCGGGGATTTGATCGTGACAAAAAAGTTCAATTCGAAAGCGTTTTTTGGGCCGGGTGGCCAGGCGACATCAGGTGTGCGAGTGTGCGTCTGCGCTGGCCAACACACACACACGTGCACACACACACACAGAAACGGTCCACGCACCCAGTCGATTGTTGAAAGGTGTGTGCGTCGCCGTCTCTATGTTAGCTACGAGATCAGCCTTCGAAACTGGCACAAAGCAGCGCCGCGCCGCGCCCAGCAGCAGCAGCAGCAGAAACAGTTCACCCCGCAGACTGGCCGACTCCGAATCCGACTGCGAATCCGACATCAACAGCTCCGACTCCCCAACTTGCAGCAGGCAATTGCCACTGCAACAATGTTTTTATACCCTGTAGCCAATGAAAGTGGCCAGAAAAACGGGTATATCACAGTTGGGCATGTGTATGCGACGGGCAGAAGAATGTAACTCAAGAACTACAGCATCAACAGGAGCTTATCTTCTGTTGTTATGATTAGATATAGATCATAGATCATAGATCAGAGATCAGAGATCATAGATCATAGATCATAGATCATAGATCATAGATCATAGATTAGAGATCAGAGATCAGAGATCAGAGATCAGAGATCATAGATCATAGATCATAGATCATAGATCATAGATCATAGATCATAGATCATAGATCATAGATCATAGATCATAGATCATAGATCATAGATCATAGATCATAGATCATAGATCATAGATCATAGATCATAGATACTTAGATACTTAGATACTTAGATACTAAGATACTAAGATACTAAGATACTAAGATACTTAGATACTTAGATACTTAGATACTTAGATACTTAGATTCTTAGATACTTAGATACTTAGATACTTAGATACTTAGATACTTAGATACTTAGATACTTAGATACTTAGATACTTAGATCGGGTATGTTATAGATATCTTGAATATCTTCACAAAACTGCCCCAAAGCCCAAATATGGATTTTCAGCCATGATCTTTGGGGTTTTTATTGAAAATTGTAGAACAAAGTACAATAAATGAATTATATAGATTAAAAGATATAGTTCAAGAATATTTTTATATCTTTTAACAGCTCAGTTATTATAAGTATAAACATACTTTAATGCGTTCTTTAAGAACAGAAAATTTCAACAAACAAAAGTTAGTGCTGAGAAGAAGCAGACCCGTAAATATATCTAACATAACAGAGGCTGATTACAGGGTATTCACAAGTCGAGCAACCGCAACTAGCCCACTCTTACTTGGTTTTTTCGTACATTTTACTGCCATTGGGACAATTTTGCCCATTATCACTAATTTTGAACGCACGTTGCGCCTTGTTAGGCGTCGCAGTTGCCAGCGGCTGCGTCGACCGCGACGGCGACGCCAACGCAGACAGCGACGGCGACAGCGACGTCGGCGGAGACATGCGCAGTTTTGCGTAATCAAAAATTGTATCGCGTCGAGTACTTTCAATTAAGCTATTGAATAATTCGAGTGCGTGTCGATGCGATCGAGTGAATGTTTTTGCAGTTTGCATTGGGAGAGTGTTCTCTGGCTGTTGGGGGCGGGACTTGACTTGGGAGGGGCGGGCTCTTTAGGAAGGAAATCGAATCGGAGTACACTTTGTAACGCCTTTAAACCAAAGTCCTTAGGTTACTTGAAGTATAAGTACTTAAGCATATGTAGTGGATCCTTGAAAGATTTCCAGCGGAATCTTAACGCTACAATAAATATATTTTTTATATTACAGAGTATCTGAAAGGAGCGCGGTATTCATTAGCCTTGGGGTTTATAGGTAATATTAATAAATAAAGAAGCCAAAGAAAAGTGGAAACGGATGTGATCCTTAACGACTTCATATCGTGGATCAACTGGTTTCTAGTTACAAACCAAGTCGAAAGAGTTGATTCCTGGAAAATGGTTGTATTCCTAATAACTATAATCTTAACTAAACTACAACTCTTAAGCTCAAAAAAGTAAAGGAAAAGTCTGTAACTTTTAAGTTCAGTAAAGTTAAGGAATTTGGATTGATTTATATTTAGTTGGAGATTGTGCTTGGATCTTGTTCAAATCCGGATCGAAACTGTCGAGAAAATTGAAGGGCTAAGGTGGTTTTTAGGTGCTCAGGTCTAGCTTTATATATTCCTCAATCAAGCTCAAAGAAGTCAGTTTTTAGCTTCCTCAATCTGAATCGAACATAAGAAGAGAATTAAGTGCCAAACTCTGCAGATTTGAAGTCAGTAACGGAAGGAATTGCATGTGGAAGAAATCGAATCCAGAGAGGGAGCACCTTCTAAATACCTTTAATGCTCTTTATGTTGAGCTCGTAGTTGAATCAAAATGCATATCTTTTGCATATTTCAAGCAATTTTGTTCAACTCGAAGACATTTGTCAGCGATTGGATAAACCATAGCCAGGTGTGCCAACAATTAGCCGGGCTTGTGTTCTCTTTGGCCTAACTGGATTTATTAAATGATTTATGAGTTTGGTTAGATCTACAGAACGGACAATAACTTATCTACAAGCTAAGATCAGACAGCTGTTGCCTAGCCCAGGAATGGGGCGACTGGACGTGGGCCAACCACGGGAACTGGAGCTGCAACTGGAACTGGAACTGGACCGCGCTGCACGACCGCATTGAAGCCGTTGATCGGATCCGCCGTGTAGAAAACGGTGCGCAGCGAACCGTCGGCATCGACCACCGAGTAGGAGCCCTTGACTACATCTCCATCACGCACCTCCTGCTGGCTCTTGCTGTCCCCGGTGATGGCATCCTGCACATTGTAGGCGTACGCGTATTGCGGATGCGGATCAAAGTCTGTGTTCACGGGCACGCCGGGCAGCAGGGCGCACTCGATGACGGCAAACAGAGCGCAGCTGATGAGTAGAGACTGCAAAGGATGTCAGCTGAGACTTGAACCATTGCCGCTTCCTTCAGTCCAAACTTACCTTGAGCAGAGCCATGTTTAATTGTGTTGGATTGAACTGTGGATTGATTGATTGCACTTTCTGGACTGTCTCTTGGAGCTGTTGCTGCGTGGTTTTAAACGCTTTGCCACCCGTCACCCGGTTGCCAAATGTGACCCAATGTCTGCGCTGACGCAAGGCGCATTCCGTGTCGGGAACACACAAAAGTTTCCTCAATGAACGTGCCAACAACAATTTGCACAATCCCAGCACCCAAGCGCTGGGCTTTATGACAATCATAACTTTAACTGTGGCACGTGCTGTGCATTAATAGCTTCCCATTTCGGCCCGTCTTGAGGTTGAGGTCGAACCTACCTCAACAGCAAAGAAACTATACATGACTAAGCTCTCAGCCTTCGAAGAAATCAATGGAGTGTGTTTGACTTGGCAGCATTAGTTGAGTAATTGGTTGTAGACGAACTCCGGGTTCATTTGTCTGCAATTGACCCAAAACTGAATTCCTTCCTTCCTTCAGAAAGCAACTCTTCAGCGGCAACATGAGGACTTTGCTCGTTGCACTAAGAGCTGAGGGAATGTGGAGAAAGAGAATTACAAGACTTCAAGTCCTTATTCCAGAGATAACAGAAATTGGCCCGATTCTATAGACTTTCTTCCTTCCCATCAATGAAAGTAAAGGATGCTTTCTTTCTTTTGTGCCCAAACTTGGGCTGATTCTTTAGACTTCCTTCCTTCCTTCCCATATCAATCAAAGTGAAGAATGTTCTCTTTTTTTTTGTACCGAAACTTTTATTCAGTAGATGCATTTAATAAATCACTAGATAAATGGCCGATAGCCGTTTACCGAAATCCCCTAGAAACGGTATCCCTAGAAGCTAGATGGACCACATGATACGGAGTTGGCTCTCAGTGGTGGACAGCACGCACGTCATTTTTGTGTTTCGGATGGTTTTGGAAGCATAATTGTGTATGTAATACTAGAACTATTCAACAACGGTCGGGATTGAGTTGGGCATCAAACGAGGAACCCGGGCAAGCGTCTAGTAGTGTCCGCCGTAGCCGGAGCCGCCGTAGGCGGGCGCGGCGTATCCAATCTTGGTGAGCGTGGGCAGCGCCACCTTGGCGACGGCCAGGGCGGGCTTGGCGACAACGGCCACGCCCTTCTTCTCAACAACCGCATTGAAGCCGTTCACTTTGTCCGCGGTGTAGGTCACCTTGCGTATGGTGCCATCCGGTTCGGCCAGGGAGTAGCTGCCGTGGACGACGCCATTGACGAGCGACTCCTCCTGCTGTTTGGAGTCGCCCGTGTGGTGATCGGTAACGCCGTACGAGAAACTGTACTGGGGATTCGGATCGTAGGGCTCGGGCACGGCCACCTTGGCCACCGCCAAGGCTGGTGCTGGGGCGGCTATGTAGGCGGGCGCTGCATGCTGCACCAGAGTGGGCGTGGCCAGGAGCTTGGGCGCCGCATAGGAAATGGCCGGCGACGCAAGCAGCGAGGGGCCATAGGGATCAATGGGTATGGCCAGCGCCACGGACAGCGCCAATCCAAGCACGCACACAGTCTGTCGGGATTAGATGAGTATCTAAGTGGAGTCCATGGAGGACATGCTGCCAGTCGAGAGGCTTACCTGAGCGAACATTTTGTTGGAATTCCTTTTTGCTTATTTTTGGTTGACTGAAGGCGCGCGTCTGCACTGCAAGAACTCGGCTCGAATGTGAGATGCATTTTCCGCCAGTTTTGCAGTTTTATATATGCGATCCGTTGTCGCGCTTAACCATTTCTGGCAGCCAGTTGATATCCCTCCCTGCCTACCCTCTCCCGCCCCCCTTCCAGCACTCGACTCGTCCAGCTGGTCTAGCTAAATGGCTAAGTGACAATTGCTTTGACTTGGCGTCTCATTTCGTGCTTTAGATCTCGATCTCGCACCCCGTCCTCAAGCCGAACGATGCACATGCTCGAGCTCAAATCTCGTGCTCCTAGTGGCAATTTCATGTTTTTCTGCTGCACATTTCGTCATTTCCAGCCAAATGTTTTGCCAGTTTTTCTCAATGGAATAGCTCCACATGCACACACTGAGCCGCAATGCGTGCACTCAAGAGCGCCGCTCCAAATCTTTCAACTGGCGGCCAAGAGACTTGTTTTTCGCTGCGCCCCCGTCAACAAAAACGCGCAAGACTCGGCATTGCCTGACTTAGAGATAGCCGTCTATGAGATACCCGACTATAAACTTGACATCCGATTAGGTCTAATAATAAGTCCCATAGATACTCTCAACTGTTGAGTCTGAGACCAGAATATACCTCAAATCCAATGGGATATGTATATGTATTTGTATATGTATAAACCAAACGAATATACCCGCTTTGTGAATGGCTAGCAGGGCATTAAACCAGATCTCGGCCAATTCTCAGGTTCTCCAAACGTTTTGTCTGATGTAATATCGCGATTCACTTGGCCAATGGCCAGTTTTGCTGGGCAGGCCGAATCCAAATCGAATACAATACTGCAGCCATTCATAGCCCCCCCCCCCCCCCCCTCTCTCTCTCCATCATGTTGTCTCTCTATCGCTGAGCATTCGATTCGTTTAATTAGAAATCGAAAATGGAAGCAATTGATCAATAGGGGGGCAGAGAGAGGGCGTGTGTGCGTGTCTGTGTGGCGTGCAGATCAAGCAATTACGCACAGTCACACACACACGCACACATTCATACGGGACACACACACACACACATGCGCCCACATTCGCTATTGCAGAAATGCCGTCCAAACCAAATGACCTTGCCACAATTGCCAGCGAATGAGTTGACCACGTTTCCAACTTAACTTAATTACGCACTGGCTAGCCCCTCCTCCTCCTTCCTTACCCTCTTTCAGCGTCTTGCCAGTGCCAGTCTCCCATTTGGCAACTGCTTTTAGGCAGGAAATTCTACGAGTCTTAATGAATCAAATCTAGCCACAAATCCTTTTATAAAAACTAAAACATTGCCATAGACAAATTCCGAGGGAGCGCAAATTTGAATAGACGTCTTTACCAAATATTGCAAAGCTTTTAAATGAGAGGAAATTCATCTTTCACTTATTTTTAACTACTACGACCAGATAATAATAAGTTTACATACATATGAAACCTTGATATATCATGTCTTATGATTTAAGTTCTTTCTTACTTAGCAGAAACTCAGGTATTACATTGAATTCTTTATCGTTCAAATACCCTTGCGCTGACTTGATTTCTTCAAAACATACATACATGCATACATGCGTACATGCATAGATGCGTACATGCATATATGCGTACATGCATAGATGCGTACATGCATACATGCGTACATGCATAGATGCGTACATGCATAGATGCGTACATGCATATATGCGTACATGCATACATGCGTACATGCATATATGCGTACATGCATATATGCGTACATGCAAACATGCATGCATGCATGCATGCTTACATACATACATGCATGTATACATGCATGCAGGAATACATACATACATACATACATAAATACATAAATACATACATACATACATACATACATACATACATACATGCATACATGCATACATGCATACATGCATACATGCATACATACATACATACATACATGCATACATACATACATACAAACATGCATACATACATACTACTTACCCGCCCACCTCCTGCTGCGCCGCCGCCTCCTGCTCCTCCGCCTCCAGTTGCTCCTCCACAGGCCGTTGGAGCCAACGTTTCCTGCCTTGTTGAATTTCAGCTGAGCCTACTTGAATTCTTGAGAATCGAGGAGGAGAGCACTTGGTAGAAATTTTTTATATTTAAATTTGCAGCAAAGCGTCAAATAATCTTTATATGCAATATGCATGCATACATACATACATACATAAATGCACACATACATACATACACTAACAGACACTCGCCCACACACACACACACACACACACATACATATACGCACGCACATATATAAAACTTATGTGCCTTCGTACAAAATACTTGTATCTCTATATATCAAACTGTTTGTCCTAACTGACGGATTGACTGACGGAAGGACTGATGGACGAACTGACTGACGGACTGACTGACAGACTGACTGACGGACTGCCTTATTGACTGACTGATTGTAGTCCCTTAATGAGATGAAGGTATACGTTAAGATGGTATTTCGGAAAATTCCACCCGTATGTGGAATTGAAATCACGAAAAAAGCTTATATGAAAGTTTTTTGCTTAGCGTTCGATCGGTTTCAAAATCATTTTCAAAGATCTTTGAGAGAATTTATTTTAAAGTAGTATTGGATATTTCGAATTTGGTAAGTTTTTTAAGTTTCCATTTTATATCAACTTTTCAAATGTAATTATTTAAATTCAATTTCCAAACTTTATTATATATTATACGCTGAAATGTGACGCAATTGGAACTCGGCTATTGCAATTTATGGACTGCAAATTTGACAAGTAAAAGTCCGCAAAACTTGTAGAACACAAATTCAGAAATCACGCTGCCATTTAAGGAATCTTGTGACATGCTCAAGTTTTTTGTTCGTCTCAATTTTGCTGTCAATTTCCGGTGACAAGCGTTAACAGTGCGTCTTCAGTGTGACCAAGCGTTGAGCGGTTGGCCGTTAGTCGGGCGAGCGGTGCTGCCAAGTTTGCCAACGAGTCGCAAGGTCGCAAACGCGCGCTGCATTTGGCAACCGAGTCACGCCCCGGCGCGTTAAAGCGTTCGAAATCAGGTCAAATCTGCAGCAGTAGCCAGCTGGAAGTGGGTTAAGAGATCTACGACACAGTTTCTACGGGCTACTGTTTCAACTATTTATGGGTGATATTTTTTTTTTATTTTATTTTTGTTTTTTTATTATAATAAACCAGTTGAAATCACGTAAGAGAAACCCCTGCTCGTACTCCCTTGGCATTTCTAATTGAAACTTTCGACGCGGCTGAAATAAGCAATTCATAATCGTTTATCGATTATCGAATATTGGATTTGGTTGATTAAAAAACAAAGTTATGCACATAAGTTGTATCACAGCTTAAAATATGAAACCCTCGCAATTAATTAGAAGATGCCCATTAGGCTGCACCCAAAAAAGCAAGCATTCATTTAATAATCGTTTATCGATTATCGAATATGGGATTTTGTTACTTAAGGATCCAACTAATGGACATTGTTTAATCTTAGTTAATCTCTCAACTAAAGTCTTCGCAATTCATTCGATGATTCCCATTAGGCTGGACCCAATCTGCCAAGCATAAATAAAATAATCGTTTATCGATAATCGTCTATCGATAATCGATTATCGTTAGTTATAGTAAATCTGAAATTGCTTAAATTAATTTTAAGACGCGTTTTTATACAGTCTATTTCGGCATCGCGATTAAAATTTCGTGATTTTTTTTAGTTTTTATTTTTGGGTGTAAAAGAAAATTAAAGTATTGCCATTGAATGGCGGCTGCATGACAATTACCAAAAGCCCAAATCAAAAAAAAAAAAAAACGAAGGAAAAATAAAAACAAAAACCGAAAACAAAATTCACTTTCGTAGCCAATGGAACATGGATTCGGAGCAGGGCCCCAGAGCTCGCTCTGGCTCTGACAACAGAAAATTTGTACGACGTGCCGCGAATTTGGATCAAAAGGCAGACGCTGCTGCCAAGCCGCCAGCTTGGCCAGCTTGGCGACTTGGAACACGGTTCCATCAGCTGCTGCTGCAATGCAAATTTCGCGAATTGGAGCTGTATAAAAGTCGACGCCGTTTTGGTCATGGCATGTCAGTTCATTTTTGTTAACCGACGGTGTTAATCAAATCCTAATCCCCCAAGCCGCACAATGAATCCTTTGACGGTAAGTTCGGCTTGACCCAGAAGATTCATATTGGATACCAATTTGGATTCGCTTTGCAGGTTGTTGCAGTCCTCTCCACCCTGGCCCTGTCGGCTCAGGCGCACTTTGCCGCCGCCCCCGCGCCCTACTTTGCGCCGGCTGCATACTCTGCTCCGCTGCGATATGCTGCTCCGGCTGCCTATTCGGCACCTCTGGGCTTTGCCGCACCGGCTGCCTACTCCGCACCGCTGGGCTTTGCTCCAGCTGCTCCCTATGCTGCTCCTCTGGCGTACTCCTCTCCTCTGGTTGCCAAGACCTTTGCCCCGGCTCCAGTTGCAGCTCCTCTGGCTGCTGCCCCTCTGGCTGCTGCCCCTCTGGCTGCTGCTCCAGTTGCTGCCCCTCTGGCTGCTGCCCCTCTGGCTGCTGCCCCTCTGGCTGCTGCCCCTCTGGCTGCTGCTCCAGTTGCTGCTCCTCTGGCTGCTGCTCCCGTCGCTGCTCCCCTGGCTGCTGCCCCGCTGGCTGCTGCTCCAGAGATCGTCGATGCTCACCCACAGTACAAGTTCGCCTATGATGTCCAGGATACGCTGACCGGCGACTCCAAGACCCAGGAGGAGACTCGCGATGGCGATGTTGTGCGCGGCTCCTACTCGCTGATCGAAGCCGACGGCTCGCGCCGCATTGTCAGCTACTATGCCGATGCCATCAATGGCTTCAATGCCGTCGTCCAGAAGGATGTGCCCGTTGTGGCGCCCGTCGCTCCAGTTGCGCCTGTTGTCGCCAAGCTTCGCAGCTTTGCGGCACCAGTTGCTGCTCCAGCTCCGGTGCTCGCCAAGACCCTGGCCGCACCCATTGTTGTCTAAATGTGGGCGGCGCATTGTAAATGGGGCGTGTCGTGTTGCTTGCGCCTTTGTGCAAATGGATTGCACACAGTTTGACAAAGGATTTTCATTTGTACATATTCGATTAATCATTGTCGTGCTTATCTAAAAAGGAAACTTTCATCGTTAACCCAAAATTAAATAAATTACCTAAACAAATTTGTGATTCCCAAGCCGAGCTTTGTGTTTTTCTTTGTTTGATTTAGTTCGAGCTGGCGAGACTTCCAGTCGAAAGTGCTCGACTTGGGAATACCCTGCACCAACTTCTTCCAACACCAAATGCAGCTCGGGCTACGCGCACTTTTACTTAAGCATTTGAAGGATTTAAAGCATTGTCCTTCCCAGTTACCTGTCTCCATCTCGCAACCCCAATCAATCTAGCCAGAATCAAGTATATGCCGTTCCACAAACATCATATCTCTCCAGGGAAGTTTGTTTTCTCAGCTCGTCGATGCTATTTCACTTTAAAATGAGATAATCTCAGCCGCGTTCCAAATTTTAAGTCTCTAGCTATTGTAGGCTCTGAATCGAAGTATCGAAGTATTCATACATACGGACGGACGGACAGACAGACGCACGGACGGATAGGTCAAAATTTCCCACCCCCATAACTTGGTCAAAACTCAACCGATTTTCATAAGGTTTGGCTCTTTTCTCTTGGTTTAGCCTCTAGATCAATTCTGCATCAAAATCTAGAAACACTATTTTTGACCAAAATTCATGTTAAAATTTTACCCTCGTATATCCTATATAGACATAAGTCAAAACTTCCCACCCCCATAACTTGGCCAAAACTCATCCGATTTTCACGAAGTTAAGTTTTTTGTCCATGATTTGACCCCTAGATTAATTCTGCATCAAAATCTAGATACACTATTTTTGGTCGAAATTCATGTGAAAATGGTACACTCAAATATCCTCAAAATATATCCTATATAGACATATCTAAGTCAAAACTTCCCACCCCCATAACTTGGTCAAAACTCATCCGATTTTCACGAGATTAAGTTTTTTGTTATTGGTTTGGCCTCTAGATCGATTCTGCATCAAAATCTAGATACACTATTTTTGGTCGAAATTCATGTTAAAATTTTACCCTCATATATCCCATATAGACATAAGTCAAAACTTCCCACCCCCATAACTTGGCCAAAACTCATCCGATTTTCACGAAATTAAGTTTTTTGTCCATGATTTGACCCCTAGATTAATTCTGCATCAAAATCTAGAAACACTATTTTTGACCGAAATTCATGTTAAAATTTTACCCTCGTATATCCAATATAGACATAAGTCAAAACTTCCCACCCCCATAACTTGGCCAAAACTCATCCGATTTTCACGAAGTTAAGTTTTTTGTCCATGATTTGACCCCTAGATTAATTCTGCATCAAAATCTAGATACACTATTTTTGGTCGAAATTCATGTGAAAATGGTACACTCAAATATCCTCAAAATATATCCTATATAGACATATCTAAGTCAAAACTTCCCACCCCCATAACTTGGTCAAAACTCATCCGATTTTCACGAGATTAAGTTTTTTGTTATTGGTTTGGCCTCTAGATCGATTCTGCATCAAAATCTAGATACACTATTTTTGGTCGAAATTCATGTTAAAATTTTACCCTCGTATATCCAATATAGACATAAGTCAAAACTTCCCACCCCCATAACTTGGCCAAAACTCATCCGATTTTCACGAAGTTAAGTTTTTTGTCCATGATTTGACCCCTAGATTAATTCTGCATCAAAATCTAGAAACACTATTTTTGACCGAAATTCATGTTAAAATTTTACCCTCGTATATCCAATATAGACATAAGTCAAAACTTCCCACCCCCATAACTTGGACAAAACTCAACCGATTTTCATAAGGTTTGGCTTTTTGTTCATGGTTTGACCCCTAGATTAATTCTGCATCAAAATCTAGAAACACTATTTTTGACCGAAATTCATGTTAAAATTTTACCCTCGTATATCCTATATAGACATAAGTCAAAACTTCCCACCCCCATAACTTGGCCAAAACTCATCCGATTTTCACGAGATTAAGTTTTTTGTTATTGGTTTGGCCTCCAGATGGATTCTGCATCAAAATCTAGATACACTATTTTTGGTCGAAATTCATGTTAAAATTTTACCCTCGTATATCCTATATAGACATAAGTCAAAACTTCCCACCCCCATAACTTGGCCAAAACTCATCCGATTTTCACGAGATTAAGTTTTTTGTTATTGGTTTGGCCTCTAGATCGATTCTGCATCAAAATCTAGATACACTATTTTTGGTCGAAATTCATGTTAAAATTTTACCCTCGTATATCCAATATAGACATAAGTCAAGACTTCCCACCCCCATAACTTGGCCAAAACTCATCCGATTTTCACGAGATTAAGTTTTTTGTTCATGGTTTGACCCCTAGATCAATTCTGCATCAAAATCTAGAAACACTATTTTTGACCGAAATTCATGTTAAAATTTTACCCTCGTATATCCAATATAGACATAAGTCAAGACTTCCCACCCCCATAACTTGGCCAAAACTTAACCGATTTTCACGAGGTTAAGTTTTTTGTCAATGGTTTGGTCCCTAGATCAATTCTGCATCAAAATCTAGAAACACTATTTTTGACCGAAATTCATGTTAAAATTTTACCCTCGTATATCCTATATAGACATAAGTCAAGACTTCCCACCCCCATAACTTGGCCAAAACTCATCCGATTTTCACGAGATTAAGTTTTTTGTTCATGGTTTGACCCCTAGATCAATTCTGCATCAAAATCTAGAAACACTATTTTTGACCGAAATTCATGTTAAAATTTTACCCTCGTATATCCAATATAGACATAAGTCACAATTTCCCACCCCCATAACTTGGCCAAAACTTAACCGATTTTCACGAGGTTAAGTTTTTTGTCAATGGTTTGGTCCCTAGATCAATTCTGCATCAAAATCTAGAAACACTATTTTTGACCGAAATTCATGTTAAAATTTTACCCTCGTATATCCTATATAGACATAAGTCAAAACTTCCCACCCCCATAACTTGGTCAAAACTCAACCGATTTTCATAAGGTTTGGCTTTTTGTTCGTGGTTTGGCCTCTAGATCAATTCTGCATCAAAATCTAGAAACACTATTTTTGGCCGAAATTCATGTTAAAATTTTACCCTCGTATATCCAATATAGACATAAGTCAAAACTTCCCACCCCCATAACTTGGCCAAAACTCATCCGATTTTCACGAGATTAAGTTTTTTGTTATTGGTTTGGCCTCTAGATCAATTCTGCATCAAAATCTAGAAACACTATTTTTGGCCGAAATTCATGTTAAAATTTTACCCTCGTATATCCAATATAGACAAAAGTCAAAACTTCCCACCCCCATAACTTGGTCAAAACTCAACCGATTTTCATAAGGTTTGGATTTTTGTCCATGGTTTGGCCTCTTGATCGATTCTGCATCAAAATCTAGATACACTAATTTTGGTCGAATTCATTCATTACACCCTCAAATATCCCATATATGTAGCCCATATATGTCAACTCTTTCTTGATCTTGCTGAGCTGATTTGCTTTCTTTCTTGCAGAGAGCTAACTGAGGAGTTTTGGAAGCTGTCGCCACACGAAAATGTGGCGCGCATGCGCCTGAAGCTGGAGCCGCAGCTGTATCCCAACAAGCACGAGAACGCCGCCAATCTGCGGGACAATGCGACCAATGCCTACGACACAAAGTGAGAAGCTGCCGAAATAACCCTTTTGATTATCACTGATGACCCTTTTTGTATTATAGAGAAATATCCGAGTTTGACTCGACCATCAAGAATGCGGTGGTGCGCGATTTCCTGGCCGATGACGAGAGCTCCCAGCTGGAGGAGGAGCTGCGCCAGCTGATCGACACACAATCGCAGCAGGATGCCGCATTGGAGAAGCTGGTCATGTCGCAGGACTGCGAGCTGATAACCCTAATGACCAAGGTCAAGGGTCGCATTGAGGTCAACCAAAGCGTGTTCACCTTTGTCGATCTGAGTCCGCCCCTGGAGGATGGCTCCAAGCACGATTTCAGGTGAGCTCAAGATTTTGAGAGTCGCTTCGCGTAGATACTTCAAAGTTTTCTTTCGGTTTTTCTTCAGGTTTTCCATCAACAAAATCCGTGAGGTTCATCTGCGCAAATATAATCTGCGTCGCAGCGCCCTCGAGATCTTTCTGATCGATCAGACCAGCTATTTTCTCAACTTTACGACCAAGGTGGGCGAGATTCATAATTCCAATTGATTGGCTGAGGGTCATCCGATATAATCAAGTCCTTCTGTCCAAGTGCTATAAAGTGCCACAGTTCTTAAGCTCTATTATTCCATGTTCCAGACTCGCAACAAGGTCTTCACCAAAATCGTGGGTCTGCCCTTGCCGAACATCTTGTACGGATCCGGTCGCTCGCCTCCGGAACTGTTGCGCGCTTCGGGTCTGACCCAGCGCTGGGTCAATCGTGAGATATCCAATTTTGAGTACTTGATGTACCTAAACACCATAGCTGGTAAGTCCCAACAGAGTCCTGGCTGCCAATCTGGCCTAAACCTTTTGTTTTATTCCTTCACGCAGGCCGCTCGTACAACGATCTGAGCCAGTATCCCGTCTTCCCCTGGATTCTGGCTGACTACACCAGCGACGTGCTGGACCTGACCGATCCGCGTTCCTTTCGTGACCTGTCCAAGCCAATTGGATGCGTAAGTAGATGTACAAGTGGAGCCTATCCTCTTATAATAACTCTGCTTACAGATCAATCCCAAGAACGAGGCGGAGGTGCGCAGCAAATACGATTCCTTTGAGGATCCCTCGGGTGCCATACCAAAGTTCCACTATGGAACACACTACTCGAACTCGGCGGGCGTGCTGCACTATCTGCTGCGCGTTGAACCCTTCACCTCGCTGCACGTTGAGCTGCAGAGCGGCCGCTTCGATGTGGCCGACCGACAATTTCACTCGATACCGCAAACGTGGAAGCTATTGAT